AAACTTGAAGAGCTTTCTTGTTAGCAGTATGTTCTCCCTTTCCTACCTTCTGCTTCTGTTTTGTTCCACGAACCTGGTCCCTCTGTTTTATTATTTAAAAAAACTTTTTAAAATTTATCTTTATTGTTGAAAGTATTGCAGATGTCCCTCCTTTTATCTCCCATTGTTGTCCCTCTGTCTTAATCACTTTTCGTTGCTTGCCTGGTTTCTTCAGCTGGACTGTGGGCACCTGGAGATCAGTTCAGGATCAGCTCCCAATTCATCTGTGCATCCCTGGCGCCCGAGCCTAGTTGTGGATACTGGTGGCAGAATGAGTTGAGGCCTTAGGTCAAGTGCATGGCTCTGATAGTACAGAAAATGTTACCTTGATGGAAAACTTGACATGCACGATCTTAATTATTTCCAGAGAGGGAATGTTATTTGACCAAAACTTAAACAGGTTACAACAGAGATGGAGCCTGGATTCCACGCCAGGCTTCTCTGAGGCTACTTAGAGGGTTTTAAGATGTTCTGTGTAGGGGACCGGGGAGGCTGGTAGGTGGGCTTGGGTCCTTCAGTCTTTTCTAGCCAGAGCAGCTTCCATTTGTCCAAATGATTCTGTGGCTAGAAACGAAATAGATAATGTCATGAGGACTACCTGGTGCAGAATGCTAGTTGGCCCTTCCCCTTTTTGCACAAGTATTCTTCGTTTTCACTAGTAAAGCCATTTTAAATTCTTACATAGGATTTTCTGTTTGATTAGTGTAACAGATAGACCCTAAAGAGACACAAGATGAACTCTCGTTTAAAGTTAGCAACAATCAAAAGATAGTACTTGCGTTGCTGATGCAGTTGGCCCAGTGATGACTCTGTCAGCCCAGAGTGCTTGGGGACAGGGGCCTCCTCCGTAGGTCTGGCCTAGGGCCTAGGAAGAGAGAGTCTCATAAAACTTCCCCTGGAGATACCCCCCAGTTTAAAACAAGCAGCTGACATACACACTTTAAAGACAATCAATTTCAAACTGATCACTGACTATTAAAAGACTTGTTTTATTTGGGAAATATTTTCCCACAGTTTCTTTTAAATAGACAGTTTTGTGGTTGCTGTTTATTTTTCGTGTTTAATAAATCTCTAATCCTTGGCTGAGAGGCTGGGGTTCAGGCAGAGAGAAACTAAAAATGTTAGAAGCTTTGTCCTTTTAGTATCTGTCAGAAGTAGAGAAAAAGCATGCCAGAAGTTATAATCTGTGAGGAAAACAGGGTTGCAGCCATCCACAGCTCTTTGGTAGTACCCTCGTTTCATAGTGTGAGGTATCCCTTTGTGCACCCAACCCTTGGTTCCACAGCCAGAGGTCTTTCCCGGGACCTCATCGCCTCCTGACATCAGTCATCCCTTAGTCACTTAGAAAGAAAAGCCCAGTTTCTTCAGGTGCCATCCTTGCAAAATGCTTTCCCAGTACTTTTTCCAGCTTTTTTGGCCTAGTTGGAAGTGCCTCTGTGTTCAGAGCCTGTTGATTTGCTTCCCTTCACCTCAGATCTGGGGCCATCAGGTGTTTCCAGCAGAGAAGAGCTCTAAATAGTTCTGAGGGGACACCCTTCTCTGCCCTTCCCCAGGAAAGTCTGGCTTGTCTGAGTGGTGTTTTCTGCGACTGACCACCTCCTCCTTGTTCATAAACCCTGAGAGTGGCCGGTGCACAGTGAGTTGGGCAAGAAACAGCTGTTGTTTTGACAAAGGATGTTCTTGCCTCACTTTTTGCATCACCAGAGTGAGTCAGGAGGTCATCACCGACCCTGGGCAGGTGGACCCACAGACCATGAACACTCATATGTGGGATGCATTATGTAAAATATATTTCTATAATTATTTGTGTGTATTTTTTCACATTAGCAGGATTTTTAAAATTACTATATATTGCAGGTTTTCCTGCTAGGTAGTCCTTGCACATGGCCAAATAACCAAAAGATATATACTGAAGAGCAAGTCTCCTCTTCTCTTGTGCCTCCTCAGAGCCAAGGACAGTTTCACGTGTCTTCTGTACCTTTCTAGAGGTAGTTGAAGCTTATGCGAGCATATATAGAGAGACTCTTTAAACAGTGTTAGCATTGTTTTGCACTTTGCTTTATTCTTGAAGATCATTCCATCAGAGATAGTGCATGAAGGACTGTCGATTTTTTATTTTTTAACCATTGCAGAATAATCCTTGAGTAGATACACCAGTATGCTATTGCTGGATATTTAGGTTGGTTTCAGGTTTTTATTTTTATTTATTTTTTGTCTTTGCAAGTTTTTAATGCCTTTCAGATGTGGAGACTCTCCACGTGCCTTTTTACATGTGACCAGTGACTCAGGGGCTGAGGGTTCTATATTTTAGGCCCCCACTGGCACCTTCCCTAAACACATTAAATTCCCTTGTTAATGTGTCGTTATATTTGACACTTTGAGTGTAGGCAGGCTGGGTAGATAATAAAACAGTATTTGGCTTATGTTTAATAGCTGTCTCCTCCCTTTGTGTTGTCCCCACAGCCAGAGAAAGCCTTGGAGTCCTTTAGAAGGATTTGGTGGTGTCTTTTCAAGGAACTCAGTCAAAGATTGTGAGGCTTAAATCTGACCAGCCAGACTTGGGGAGATGACAGCTGCCTCCCAACCCCCCCAATCTGTGGACATTCAGTCTCTCCTCCTTGCTGTGCCAATCTGTTTTAGAGGTGGCGGGTGGAAGTACGTATTAAATTTGGAGTCCCCGTTGGTTTCTCATGTGGACCTGCATATGTCTGTATGGGTGGGGGAGGGCGTGTGGCAGGCACCTGGAAGGTCTCTGACTGCCAACAGCAGTTCAGTTCTCAGTCTCACTGGCCTTGCAACCCCGTGAGAAAGGTGGGATTGACTTCCATCCAGCGACCTGTTCCAGGCTTAGCCCTCCCCATTCTGGCTCCCTGATGGATCTGCCTGGGGAGCTCGCAGGATCCCTCAGGGATCAGAGGGTCTCACAGACCGTGTGTGCGTGCATGCTCTTCAGCATCTTCCCAAGTACCCTGCCTCCCACCCTCACCCCTGCTGACCCCAGGCTCTTCCCTCTAGTGAGCCCCCAGTATCCAGCACTTGGGCCACAGAAGTCACCAAACACTGCTGATTTTGTGCCCCCTACTGTGTACCCCCCCGCGCCCCCCCTCACCCCCCAACTCTGGAAATAGGGTCCTCGTTGAAAAGCAGTCAGGGCTCTTTGTTTTTCTCTTAAGTTTTCTGCATCTGTGTGTAATTGGAACGAAACATCAACTTTACTTTATTTGTCATATTTCAGTATTGGCTTTTTCCCCCTTCTTGAAGTCTCCCTTTATAACTCTGCTGCTGCTGCTTAAATATAGATGTCTAAGTCCTCCTCCTTACCAGATTGTTTATATTTTTGAAAAGCCTTCTGCTTATCTGCGATTACTCTCTTCTCTATCTCCATCTCCATGTTACCACATTGCTTCGGTTGCTCTTTTTTCCTGCCTTCACTTGACTGGGATGTGTTTCAAATGTGGTCTATCAAAATGTGCAGTGTTTCCCTCTTTTCTGCAGTAGCTTTGACATCTGTTCTTGAATTCTAGCCCACGTTATTCTTTTGGACTTGTTTGCACAAGATTTGCTGTTATGCCAGAAACACTAAAGGGAAGAGTGTGGTGTAGTTTTCCCGCCCCTCCACCCCCAACCTCCTACCCCCACCCCCGTTTAAACTGTCCACAGTTTCCAAGTCGACAGCACACTGGGTGTTTGTTCCAGCACTCTGTCATCTCGTCTGGCAGTGGCCCACCCCATAGTGGTACGAGAGAAGCGTTTACCAGCAGGGCTTACGGACGACTTAAGTATTTCCACCAAAAAGAAAAGTGGGTGTGACTTCATGAAGTGGGTGCAGGGTGGGTGCAGAAACTTTCACCTGCTTCCCGGGTGGCTCTGGATGGATTTTCATTTTGATTTTACTTGCCTTTTGGCCTTTGATGGGGTCTTTGCTCTGTTGGGCCAGCACCTGGGGGGAATAGTCCAAACCATTGAAAAGCCACTTAGGGCAGCCACTTTAATCCTAAACAGAATGTGCTAGTGTGTGTCTTTAAAATGGGCCTTTTGGTGACTACGGGAACATGTCCTTGAGCTCCTGCTGTCAGCCTGGAACACCATTCTGGGCCCATCTGCTGTAGGCTTGTTTGAAACAGATCCTTTTGGTGGCTGTTCCCAGAATTTCTGAGGTCAGGGCACAGGTTCTCTGATGCTTTGAGTGTCAGTTTGCCATGTATAGCAGAGCCCAGAACGCTTAGCCTCTGACATGTCCTCTGAACCCACTCCTGATTTAGAGTCCCAGTGTAAGTAAAACAGTTTGAGAATAACCACTGTTTCCAGGTCCCTTATTTCTGAAAGTTTACAAGATATTGGAAATCATTATTCTTGGAATTGGCCTTGTAAAGGTCCTCTTGAAAATAGGTAACAGGTTAATTTTAATGGTCCCAGACATGATGTCTAGCCTGTAGTAAGACCCACAATAAGTATTTGTTGAATGAAAGCAAATGAAGTGTCATTACAAAAGATTCTGGGCCTGCACTGTTGAAGGAGAGCCAAACAGAATGCCCTGATGAGAAGCGCAGAGCGAATCAGAAGGACAGCACAGAGATGTGACAAGAAGAGACACTTGTTAAGAACAGAAGCGAGTGACTCCAGGGAGGGATGGCATTTGGGCATTGGCCTGACTCTGGTTTTAGCAAAAAAAAAAAAAAAAAGTATGTGCATGTACTGTTACAGAAACAGCCTTTCATGAGGTGGCGTCAATACATACATCAAAGCTGAGCAAGTTGGGTTTTCTCAAACCAGTGCTCGGGGCTGGATGGGAACTTCGTGATTGTGTCCACAGCCCCCAGCACCTCCTCTGGCCACGAGTTGGCAGTCCCTGGAGTACTGGGGCTCTCTGCAGTGATCTGGTCAAATGCAAATATGATCTTCTCTGTTACAAAATGCAGTTACAATCTTGTCTTCCCCCTTTTTTTTGTTTCTCTCAACAGAGGGAACTCGATGCCACCGCAACAGTATTGGCAAACCGGCAAGATGAAAGTGAGCAGTCTAGAAAGCGGCTCATCGAGCAGAGCCGAGAGTTCAAGAAGAACACTCCAGAGGTGAGGCAGTGTTTCGTCCAGGTCTCTTTGAAGGGGTCTTACTATCCTGGTCAGTAGACGTATTGTAAGCATTTCAGTTCTATCAGATAATCTGCTTTCTTTCAGTTGCCCTTAGCCCCGTACCAGCAGACTGCATGATTCCACGTGGGCTGGGGAATGCGGGCATTGATAAGTTGCATAAACAGATTAAACCACGAGCTAATTCTAGATGCAGATACTGCAGTCTGGATCTGTGGGAATACGTGGCCAGGTCAGACCCTCAAACCCATCCTGGCCTCTGGCCCCTTTGCTCCATGCCCACGCCACCTCGAGTCCACAGAGGATCACTGAGTATGAGGACATAGTGGGTGGAGGGGCAGGCGTGGTATCTGAGGGCTGCACACATCTCAGGATGAAATATGCTGATACCTTGTGTAAATCAGACATTTAGACTGGTAAGGCCTTTTAAACACCTGTTTCCTGAAATATGCTTTAAAGGGCACTGGAAATGTGCTCTTTATATGCTCCTACTTTTTTTTGTAATTTTGTGTTTGAAGGACAGTATTGAGAGTAGTCAGGGCAACATTTTCCTGGTCTAAGTTCCTTTTCTCCTTAGTCCCTATCCAAGGCTTTGTAAGAAGTAAAAAGAGAGTTTTACAGACAGTTGCACAGATGTGGGAATTGCTTTCCAGGGAGCTTCTGCTAGTTTGGCCCACGATGGTTCTCATGCTATGGGCTCTCCCAGCCTCCTGCACCCCCCCACTCGGGTGAGTGGACTGCAGCTGCCCACAGCGTTGGCTCTGGCCCCAAACCTTCAGATTATTCCATGGACAACAAAGGAACAGACCTGGAAGAAAAGCTGCTTTCTGGGAGGGATGCCTCTAACTTTTACAATATATCTCATTTATAATATATAGAAATCCTGAGAAATGATGAATGAATTGAATTTTTACAAGTGGACTTGTTTTAAGGACTCCAAAGGAGCTTGCTATTTAAGGGAGTGCTGTTGTGAATCATTTGGGGAAACAAATAGTTAACCCTCTATTTTCAGAATAATTATGTTAAGAGAGAACATGAAAGCTCAGGGGAAAGAAGGAGGGCTCTAGAGATAGACCCACCTAAAGGTTTTAAGTTTGAGACCCACTACTTACCCTCTCCACCCCACCCTGCCCTTAAGTGTGGATCTGCCATGTTTTGTCTGACCAAAAATGCAGACCAGAGTAATTTGTGCCTGGGGATTGCCACCCTCTGTGTAGTTTTGGGGTACATCTATTCTCCACGTTCCACCTTGCCCTGAGTAAAGACAGGAACAAAGAAAGGAACCAAGGACAGAACTTCCTTCTGTTGCTTTCTCCTCTCGGGCCGGTTCAGAATAGGCCATCCTAGAGGGTCTAACAGTGGGGTTTCCCAAGCTCTCGTCCTTGACTTTGTTTCCTCCGGCCAATTTCTGTCATGTCTATCTCTCGAACATTCTCAGCATTGTTCCAGTAAGCAGCTGTCATCTGCTGTCCTGTGTTCTTATTTTCCTCCCTTGGTAGCTATATGTCCAGGAGCATCCATAGAACAATCTAAAGAGGAAGGTTAAGGCCACCCTTCTGAGGGGATAGACAACAGTAAATAAATTGAATCGGCCATATGACAAGTACTGTGAGGAGGATGAAGCAGAGAACTGGATTCTTGGGTGTTCCTGGGGTCCCAGACTTCTGTTAGCTGCTAAGGGCCTGTTCCCAGCAAGGAGGGGCACTGCATCCCCCTACCCTAGGGCTGCTTTGGGCTGATAAATGATGACTGAACTGAGCTGGGCCCAGTCCCACCATTGAGGTCTAAATAGGCCTCGTTTTGCAGGCACCGGGGACCAGCTCACACGGCTTTTGCTGAGTCCCATGCCAGTTACTTGAAGACACCCAGCCTTAAACTGCATTTATCTTCTAATCTCAATAAACAGAAGAGGCTTGGGAAGGAAGCAGCCTGGTTGGTAAATGCCATTTGGGGCACTTCTTTTCAGGGCACATTTTTAGACATTGTCTTCTGTGGAGAAAGGGACTGAGAAACTCCAGGAAGGGGATAGAAGTTACCATCCTCTTGTTTCTGGCCTCTGCCAGTTGGTCGAGGCTGGTACCCATTGGGGCTGCTTCCACTGCAGTAGGGAGAGTCTTGCTAAAGCACGAATCTGCAGGAAGGGTGAGGCTTCTTGCAGGCTCCTACTTCTGTTCCTCCCCTTGCTTTTTCCTATCCCAGGGCCATCCTGGAAATCTATGTGGGAACCCAGAGGGGAGACTTATGCTACCAACCAGAATCTTCTCTTTGAAAATTTGAAGCCATTTAAGGCCATTGTGGAGGTGTGGATGGGTAGCTGTAGCCGGGATCCTCTGGGGTACACAGAGGGAGGAGCGTATGTGGGAGGTGGTCTGGTAGTAAATGGGAGGACTGTGTTGAGTACGGGGCCTAGGATCCAGAGGGGATATTGGATTGTCACATTGTTTGGGATTTCAGATTAGAGGAGCCCAAATTCTCTTCAACATCAGTCACTTCTCCTGACTCCACTGCTGGACAAATTATTAAACAAGGGAGGAAAAAGATTAGCACTTACTGTAGAGGGAACATTCTAGAAAATGGACCTGTAAAAATGAAGGTTGCTTTGTTTCCAGGGATAAAAAACTTTGACTTGCTGAAAGGAAAGTCATCTCTTCATGTGGACAAAGACTAGGATCCTCATGCCACATGTGGTTGACGAGTGAGGACCAGGCTATGTTCTAGGGGGCCACCTGAGGCAGACCAGGGCCACTGGTACTTCTGCTGGTGTTGCACCAAGTGTATCCATTCTCAGTGAAGAAGCTCATGTCCCTCTTTGTTCTGGGAAAGAAGAAAATGTTCCTCCCGTATCTGTTGAATATCTAGTAAGTCTAATATGCAGATTAGGCACGAGGGTGAAGGCAGAGGTGAGTAAGGTTTTCTCTCAACAGGGAATTTGTATTTTCCTAGACTGGCCCTGCCCAAGGGCAACTGGGAAACCTCAAGTCTGGAGGGACAGGGGGAAGGCCGGGGGAGTCTGACAGGCTGGGTCATTCCCCCCTGGACAAGCCCAGGAATACAGAGAGGCAGGCGCCGGCGTGGCCAGGCCTTGAGTATCTTTTGTTTAGAATGAATTTTTTTTTTTGAGTTTCAGTTTTATGTCATTAGATTAATACCTTTATAGTCAGTTGATATTATTGCTTATGTCTTTTTAACCTCAAAACTGTAGTTAATTTGAAAGATTACAGTGACTCTGCAAATAAAGTTTTATATATTTCTTTGATTCCATAAATGAGCCCCTTTCTAAGAAAAACATTTTTTAGTTTTAATTTTATAACTAAACATTAATTTCCTACTGAATTAATAATTGCTAGTGAACATAAAAGATTGTGGGGGTATTTCTAGGTTGTGTTGCTTTTCAGATTATTTTTGCAGGTGACCATACTGGCTCTTGCCATTGGACAAATTACTTAACCTCCCAAAGTCTCAGTTTCATCATCTGTAAAAAGTGTAATGACAGGGCCCAGCTCACAGGATTGATAGGTGTGTGTATAGAGGGCTCCGCGCAGGCCTGGCATCTGGCGTCCTCTATGTGTTTGTTACTAATATTAACTTAGAATATGCACTACGAATGCATGCAATACAGCTGATTTCTGCTTCTCAAAGCTAGTTCAGGGAACTTTAAAACACACACACACACACACACACACACACACACACACACCACCATGTAGTTTCAGCCCCAAAGTGCCCCAAAAGTTGGTTTGTAATAACAGTTTATCATTTTACCTTTTGAATACCTTCTATGTGATAGATGGTTTGGCCCTGGGGGTAAAATCCTGTTCCTTTTCTTAAAAAGTCTCTTGTCTTCCTACCATGCAAGTAGAACATCCTGACACAGCGTGTTCAGTGCTAGGATGGTATAACTGGAATCTTCTGAATGCAGACTTTTCCCCAGAAACACTTGCATATCCACGGAAAAAAGGTTCCAAGCCACACGCGCCTAGGTAAGCACAGGGCTGCTCTTTAAGCCTTCTTCTCAACCTCTGAAATATTGGTGAATGTTAAGGACCCACTTCCCTGAGAAATGCACATTTACATACAGTTTCTCTTGGACACTGAAACTCATCTGGACCCTGGCTTAGAGCATATCTCTGGGGCACACACACATTGGCAGTCTTGGCATGCCACTCTGGGAGCATCCTGTGTGTCTCCGCCTTCGCCCTCCTCCTCGTTGTGCCCAGGGCAGGAGGGATGAAAGGAGAGGCAGGGGCTGCATGAGAGATCAGTGCCAAGGCCCTGTCCTCTGGGCAGAGGCCACTGTCCTCTGGCCCCCAGGCTGAGCACTAGGGTGGAGGAACTGGGCCATCCCCAGTGTGATGAAGGCCCCATAGGCTGGCAGCAGGCACAGGCATCTCTGTATTGGATGAAACTTTTCTCCTGCTCGAGACTGGTGAAGGGCAAGGCCAGGCAGGTGGCAGTGTGTGCAAGGGAGGGGGAGGCAGTAGCTTTCTTGAGGCCTGGTGGTGGTGGAACTCTGTGCATTGTAGGCCAAAACCCTTGCCTTCTGCTTTTCTGTTGCTTTGATCAGAGATCTGAGGCACAGGCAGGCTAGGATTACCTTTGATGCCCCAAATGGCATCTGTATTGATAAAGCTGACTGCAGAATGAATCAGTGGGGACATAGAAGCATGCAGGTGCCACTGCCCAGAAATACCCAGGGCACTCCTGGAAACTGAGTTATTTTCCACTGGGGACTATGAAAGGGACAGCACTAAGGTTTCATGATTCAGCCCAGGAATTTTCTTTTTTCTTGCTTTTCCATTTGGTTAATTTTTATGTTTGCCCCTTGAGGTTCCCACAGCTATTGCTCAGATAAGCTGAGACTTGAACCCAGGCAGTCTGGGCCCAGAGTCAGTGCTCTTTTTTTTCTCTCTCTTTCTTAAATGGATTTTTAGAGAGAGAGGAAGGGGGAGAGAAATAGAAACATCCATGTGAGAGAGAAACAT